AACAAATACAAACACATGGAAGCTAAACAATACACTACTAAATAACCAAGAGATCACTGAAGAAATCAAAGAGGAAAACAAAAAATACCTAGAAACAAATAACAATGAAAACACAACAACCCAAAACCTATGGGATGCAGCAAAAGCAGTTCTAAGAGAGAAGTTAATAGCAATACAATTCTACCTCAAGAAACAAGAATCATCTCAAATAAACAACCTAACCTTACAGCTAAAGCAATTAGAGAAAGAAGAACAATAAAGCCCCAAAGTTAGCAGAAGGAAAGAAATCATAAAGATCAGATCAGAGAGAAATGAAGGAAACAATAGCGAAGATCAATAAAACTAAAAGCTGGTTCTTTGAGAAGATGAACAAAATTGATAAACCATTAGCCACACTCATCAGAAAAAAAGGGAAAAGACTCAAATCAATAGAACTAGAAAATAAAAAGAAATAACAACTGACACTGCAGAAATACAAATGGTCATGAGAGATTACTACAAGCAACTATATGCCAATAAAATGGACAACCTGGAAGAAATGGACACATTCTTAGAAGAACACAATCTTCCAAGACTGAACCAGGAAGAAAGAGAAAATATAAACAGACCAATCACAAGAACTGAAACTGAGACTGTGATTAAAAATCTTCTAGCAAACAAAAGCCCAGGAGCAGATGGCTTCACAGGCAAATTCTATCAAACATTTAGAGAAGACCTAATACCCATTCTTCTCAAACTCTTCCAAAATATACCAGAGGGAGGAACACTCCCAAACTCATTCTACAAGGCCACCATCACCCTGATACCAATACCAGAAAAAGATGTCACAAAGAAAGAAAACTACAGGCCAATATCACTGATGAACATAGATGCAAAAATCCTCCACAAAATACGAGCAAACAGAATTCAACAGCACATTAAAAGGATCATACACCATGAACAAGTGGGCTTTATCCCAGGAATGCAAGGATTCTTCAATATACACAAATCAATCAATGTGATACACCATATTAACAAACTGAAGGAGAAAAAGCATATCATCATCTCAATAGATGCAGAGAAAGATTTGACAAAATTAACACCCATTTATGATAAAAACCCTGAAGAAAGTAGGCATACAGGGAACTTTCCTCAACATTATAAAGGGCATATATGACAAACCCACAGCCAACGTCGTCCTCAATGGTGAAAAACTGAAACCATTTCCTCTAAGATCAGGAACAAGACAAGGCTTCCCACTCTCACCACTAGTATTCAACATAGTTTTGGAAGTTTTAGCCACAGCAATCAAAGAAGAAAAGGAAATAAAAGGAATCCAAATTGGAAAAGAAGAAGTAAAGCTGTCACTGTTTGCAGATGACATGATACTATACATAGAGAATCCTAAAGATGCTACCAGAAAACAACTAGAGCTAATCAATGAATTTGGTAAAGTAGCAGGATACAAAATTAATGCACAGAAATCTCTTGCATTCCTATACACTAGTGATGAAAAATCTGAAAGAGAAATTAGGGAAACACTCCCATTTACCACTGCAACAAAAAGAATAAAATATCTAGGAATAAACCTACCTAAGGAGACAAAAGACCTGTATGCAGAAAATTATAAGACACTGATCTAAGAAATTAAAGATGATAAAAAAAAAGGTGGAAAGATACACCATGTTCTTGGATTGGAAGAATCAACTGTGTGAAAATGACTATACTACCCAAAGCAATCTACAGATTCAATGCAATCTCTATCAAACTACATATGGCATTTTCCATAGAACTAGATCAAAATATTTCACAATTTGTTTGGAAACACAAAAGACCTCGAATAGCCAAAGCAATCTTGAGAAAGAAAAACGGAGCTGGAGGAATCAGGCTCCCTGACTTCAGACTATACTACAAAGCTACAGTAATCAAGACAGTATGGTACTGACACAAAAACAGAAAGATAGATCAATGGAACAGGATAGAAAGCTCAGAGATAAACCCATGCACATATGGTCACCTTATTTTTGATAAAGGAGGCAGGAATGGACAGTGGAGAAAAGACAGCCTCTTCAATAAGTGGTGCCAGGAAAACTGGACAGCTACATGTAATAGAATGAAATTAGAACATGCCCTAATGCCATACACAAAAATAAACTCAAAATGGATTAAAGACCTAAATTTAAGGCCAGACACCATCAAACTCTTAGAGGAAAACATAGGCAGGACACTCTATGACATACATCACAGCAAGATCCTTTTTGACCCACCTCCTAGAGAAATGGAAATAAAAACAAAAATAAACAAATGGGACCTAATGAAACTTCAAAGCTTTTGCACAGCAAAGGAAACCAGAAACAAGACAAAAAGACAACCCTCAGAATGGGAGAAAATATTTGCAAATGAATCAATAGACAAAGGATTCATCTCCAACATTTATAAGCAGCTCATGCAGCTCAATATCAAAAAAACAAATAACCCAATCCAAAAATGGGCAGAAGACCTAAACAGACATTGCTCCAAAGAAGATATACAGATTGCCAGCAGACACATAAAAGGATGCTCAACATCACTAGTCATTAGAGAAATGCAAATCAAAACTACAATGAGGTATCACCTCACACCGGTCAGAATGGCCATCATCAAAGAATCTACAAACAATAAATGCTGCAGAGGGTGTGGAGAAAAGGGAACCCTCTTGCACTGTTGGTGGGAATGTAAATTGATACAGCCACTATGGAGAAAAGTATGGAGGTTCCTTAAAAAACTAAAACTAGAACTACCATACGACCCAGCAATTCCACTACTGGGAATATATCCTGAGAAAACCATAATTCAGAAAGAGTCAGGGACCACAATGTTCATTGCAGCTCTATTTACAATAGCCAGGACATGGAAGCCACCTAAGTGTCCACTGGCAGATGAATGGATAAAGAAGATGTGGTACATGTATTTAATGGAATATTACTCAGCCTTAAAAGGAAATGAAATTGAGTTATTTGTAGTGAGGTGGATGGACCTAGCGTTTGTCATACAGAGTGAAGTGAGTCCCAAAGAGAAAAACAAATACCATAAGCTAACACATATATAAGGAATCTAAGAAAAATAAAATAAAAATGGTTCTGAAGAACCTAAGGGGAGGACAGAAATAAAGACGCAGACGTAGAGAATGGACTTGAGGGCTTGGGGAGGGGGAAGGGTAAGCTGGGACGAAGTGAGAGAGTAGCATTGACATATATATACACTACCAAATGTAAAATAGATAGCTAGTGGGAAGCAGCCACATAGCACAGGGAGATCAGCTCCATACTTTGTGACCACCTAGAGGGGTGGGATAGGGAGGGTGGGAGGGAGACGCAACAGGGAGGAGATGTGGGGATATATGTATATGTATAGCTGATTCACTTTGTTATAAAGCAGAAACTAACACACCATTGTAAAGCAATTATACTCCAATAAAGATGTTAAAAGAAAAAGATTTATACAAAGAGGCAAAAACAAAAGTGAGTAATTATTATATGAATATTCTGAGCAGCAGAAGGAAAATGACATTAGAGAAATCTAGGTATATAATATAAATTATGCATACTTTCCTCGATGCTATATCAAATAGATTCAAGTATTGTATCATTTGTGTTCTAAAAAAATTAAAAGTACTTAAAGGATGGGCTTCCCTGGTGGCACAGTGGTTGAGAGTCCGCCTGCCAATGCAGGGGTCACGGGTTCATGCCCCGGTTCAGGGGGATCCCACGTGCCGCGGAGCAGCTGGGCCCGTGAGCCACGGCCGCTGAGCCTGCGCATCCGGAGCCTGTGCTCCGCAGCGGGAGAGGCCACAACAGTGAGAGGCCCGCATACCGCAAAAAAAAAAAAAAAATGTACTTAAAGGCTAATGGTATTCATATTAACACTATATTCGGAATTAAATGTCTTTGTGTTTTTTGCTTTGATTTAAAAAAATGTAAGAGGTGTTATGAGCAACCCAAAGAAAAGAAAAGTAAATACTAAAATCTCCCTGTAAAAATAGAGTACTAAAAACCATGAGAAGTTTATAACATTGTAATTCCACTTTTGACAAATGAAGCATTTTCACGGCATTTCCATGGCAGCCACAAGGGGGAAGCCCAGCCACTCAACACTGGCTAGGATGCAGAAATACAAGGAAAAGTACCTGTGCACTGTGCTTTTCTGACACCCTTAGTGTCATATCACGTGCTTGATCAGAACCTATAGCTGGAATGCAGATAATGTAACTACAACTGATACCTCCTGTTCAAAAAAACTGGAGAAGGTTTATCTAGAATCTCTGAAATCTGCAGAAATATTTTCTTTTTCTTCTCTGATCATTTACTCCACTTCTTTCTAGTTTGGGGCGGGACCCAGTATTTTCAGTATTAATAACAACAACAACAAAAAAGAGCTTGGTCAAATGAATCTGCTAAATATTGATAGAAGTATACCTCAAATGCTTAATAAATTATAATCTGGGATTGTGCTAAATCTATCCAGATTAATAAAACGATTAAATATGGTTATATCAATGATCTCCAGCCATAATAAAGGGACAGTTCTCCACTTCCACTTGTTAAATTTGTCAACATCTCCACCTATATCTGCACTAAAATTAAGTGAACTTAAATTAATACTCGAGCTTGTTTATAACACTCCCTGGTACCAACACTGGTAGAGTTATATAGAAGTCACGATTTGGAAATGACTGATATTCACAGGAAAAGCACCTAAGGCAAGAATTCAATGAACCAGGACTCCTCTGTGACCTGAAGTATAGTCTACTTAGATCTCAAATGAAGACTATCTCTAAGTTAGAGATAAAGAGGGAGGGAGGGGGAGAGGAAGGAAAGGACATAGGGAAGGAAGGAGGGAAGGAATGTCCCATTGTCCCAAGACCATTTGTGATTTACTTCTACATTCTTATCACCATTATACAGTACACACTCCAGATATGATTAATGCCTGAATACATGAATAAATGAATGTCTAAATCAAACAACAGAATAAACTATTACCTTTAGCTGGACAAATGGAAAATGCCATCCCTTTTCCTGTATTTATCAGTTGCCATTCAAATTTGACAAAATAATTCTGATGATTATACAACCTAACCATCCCCCTAAAACATGTTTTCACCAAGAAGTCTTGTGGTCTCAGTACTAGCTCATTAGCAGATAGCTCAAGTTTTACTGGCAAGACAACTGCCATCACTAGGATGTGCCCACCAGGCATATTGTTCACTGACAGGTGAAAGACCTGTAACACAGCAAAGGCATCCAAATTTAACTAACACCTCTTAACTGAATGGTAGAATTCAGTTACATGTAAAATGTATATATTATTGATTGACATCAACAATTCTTAATAAACAATATCAAAATAATTATGAAAGGTAATTAGACTACCATTGAAATATGAATCTACAAATCTACATATTGCTGCACATATAGTTTCTATGTTTGGGGACCAAACATAATATATACTACAATAATTGGGGTAAATATACAAAACGACATTTTGATTCTAGCAAACAGAAATTTGAAAATAAATCTTACTTCCAAAATTTTCCAATGGTGGGAGATTCAAATATCATTGAAACAGAAGTACTAGCTGTAGGTGGAATCACATATGAAAATTGGTTGGTCTTCGGAAGTTCTTGCAAATTGACATCTAACTGGATCAAAATATGAATAGGTAGCATATTAATAACATGTAATAGACGAGTATTTGTTGAGTTCACACAAACATCACCAAAGTTAAGGACAGAGAGCCCTGAAAAAATGAAGAGTTACTAAGCTTAATGTTGACAAACGTGTTCATTGACTTATTTAAGTTTTCATACTATATGCTGATCGATTAATTCGTTAAAAATAGTACTTAAAATAGTTACTATATATCAGAAATTATTAACAGAGCTTTTTATCTAAATGTCCATAATTTGAGGTGATTGGCCAAAATTCAATACATATTGTGATTATATGGAAAATTTCATGACAAAATTATTAGCACTAATTATAACTCAGTACATGAATTTGCATACTCCTACACCCTCTCCACTCCCATAAATGCATTTATGTTCACTTATCCAGAACTTACAGAAATTGGTAACTTCCCATGACTCACTGTTTAACTTTTAAGTTTTCCCCTTTAAATGCCAGAAGTTTTTATATCATAACAATCTTAATTATGTCTTATCCTGCTTTTTTAACAGCTTAATTTAATTTTAACTGGTATACAGCAAACTGTACATGTTTAAAGTACAGAATTTCATAAGCATTGACATATGTATACACCTAAATACAAGTGAAATACCTGAAACGATCACCACAATGAAGAGAGTGAACATCCATCACTCCAAAAAATATACTTGGCCCCTTTATAGTTTCTCCCTACCACAATCCTCTGTATTCCCCCTTTCCAGACAAACACTCGTCTGCTTTATGTCATTATAAATCAGTTTGCATTTTCTAGACTTTAATATGAGTGGAATAATATAGCATGTATGGTTTTTCTCTGATTTCTTTCACTCAGCAAACTCTCTAGAGATCCATTTAAGATGTTTCGTGTGTCAACAGTCCATTCCTTTATATTACTAAGTAGTAGTCTATTATAGGTGAATGTTTATGTATCACCTGTTAACACTTCGATTCTTCCCAGGTATGGCCTGTTAAAATTAAGGATGCTAAAACATTTGCGAACAAGTATTTGTTTGAAAATATGCCCTCATTTCTTTTGGATAAATATCTAGGAGTATAATGGATGGGTAATATGGTACATGTGTGTTAAAATGTTTAAGAAACTGCCAAACTGCTTTAAAGTGGTTGTATAACTTCATATTCCCACTAGCAGTGTACAAGAGTCCCAGTTTCCTCACATCTTCAGCAATAATTGAAATGGTAAGTTTTTCAGCCATTCTAATAGATTTATAGCAGTATCTCATTGTGGTGTTATTTTGTGTTTCCCTTACAATGAACAATGTTGTGCATCTTTCCATGTGCTTATTTGTCATTATATCTTCTATAAGGAAGGAAGCACATGGCTTATGATCTATTTTGATTTAGTTTTGGCACATGATGTAACTAGCACTACTTTTTTTTTTTTTTTAATCACAGCCATACTAACACATGTGACGTGGTATCTCATTGTGGTTTTGATTTGCATTTCACTAATGACTAATGATATTGAGCATCTTTTCATGTGCTTACAGAGCATTTTTATGTCTTCTTGGGAGAAATGTCTATTCAAGTTTTGTGCATTTTTAATTGTGTTTCTTGTCGTTGAGTTGTAGGAGTTCTTTATACATCCTGGATATTAATCACTTATCAAATATACTATTTGCAAATATTTTTTCATATTACGAAGGTTGTCTTTTCACTCTACTGATTGTGTGCTTTGATGCACAAAAAAGTTTTTCATTTTGATGAAATCTGGTTTATTTTTTCCTTTGTTGCCTATGCTTTTGGTATCATATCCAAGAAATCATTGCCAAACCCAATGCCATGAAAAATTTCACCTGTTTTCTTCCAAGAGTTTTATAGTTTTAGCTCTTAAGTTTAGATCTTTGATCCATATTGAGTTAATTTTTGTACATGGTCACATTCTTTTTTTGTTGTTGTTTTTGTTTTTGTTTTTAACGTCTTTATTGGAGTATAATTGCATTACAATGGTGTGTTAGTTTCTGCTTTATAACAAAGTGAATCAGTTATACATATACATATGTTCCCATATCTCTTCCCTCTTGCATCTCCCTCCCTCCCACCCTTCCTATCCCACCCCCTAGGTGGTCACAAACCACCTACCTGATCTCCCTGTGCTACGCGGCTGCTTCCCACTAGCTATCTATTTTACATTTAGTAGTGTATATATGTCCATGCCACTCTCTCACTCTGTCACAGCTTGCCCTTCCCCCTCCCCATATCCTCAAGTCCATTCTCTAGTAGGTCTGTAGCATTACTTATTGAAAAGACTATGCTTTCTGCACCTTTTTGAACCTCACTGCCTTTTACCTTTGTCAAAATTCATTTGTCCAATATATATAGGTCTATTTCTGAACCTTACTTATGTTTCATTGTTCTATATTTATGCCAATAACATACGGTTTGGTTTACTATAGCTTTATAATAAATCTTGAAATCAAGCAGTGTTTTATCTCCAACATGTTTTTCCTTTTTCAAAACTGTTTTGACTATTCTAATTACATTGCATTTCCACATGAATTTTAAAATGAGCCTGTCAATTTCTACAAAAGATCCTGATGGGATTTTGGTTGGAACTGTGGTGAATCTGTAGATTATATGGATCGTTTTTGCATATCTTCTATGTCTCTGCATAACTTTTTTTTTTCTACATCTTTATTGGAGTATAATTGCTCTGCATAACCTTTTGAATAAATGGAATACAGGTACAATAACTGTTTTAGTGTCGTTGTCTGATAATTCTAACCTATGTATCAGTATTAATCAGATTTAACTGATTAATAATTCTCTTTATTATGGGTTGTATTTTCCTGCTTCTTATGTATTGTAATCTTTGTTTGGATGTCAATATAGTAAATTTTACCTCATTAGGTACTGGATATTTTTTCATATTCCTATAATATTCTTGAGCTCTGCTCTGGAAGGAAGTTACCTCAAAACAGACTGGTCCTTCCAGATCTTTCTTTTATGAATGTTACCCGGGTCCAGAGCCGTGCTCTAAATAGTAATAATTATTCTCCACTACTGAGGCAAGAACTTCCTGAGTACTCTGCCTCAATGTCCCATGAATTATGAGGTTTCAGTACTGGTTGAGGCAAGCAATACAGAGGTGAGCCAGAAATATTAAGACAGAGATACAAGAACAAGACAGACAAAGTGGGTCTAATAAGATACTATTTATACCTAGAATAACCAAAGCAATCCTGAAAAAGAAGAGCAAATTTGGAGGACTTGCACTTACTGATTTCAAAACTTAGCATAAAGCTACTTATCGACAGTACAGAATTGTCATTGGGATAGAAATACATATCAATGGAACAGAATTAAGAATCCAGAAACAAACCCTGACACATTTGGTCATTTGATTTTCGACAAAGGTGTCAAGGCAATTCAATGAGAAATGATAGTATTTTCAACAAATGGTGCTAGGACCATTGAATATCCATATGTTATAATATGAATTTAGACTCAACTCATACCATAAACAAAAATTTTTAAAACATAAAAAGGAATTGTAGGGGCTTCCCTGGTGGCTCAGTGGTTGAGAGTCCACCTGCCAATGCAGGGGACACGGGTTCGTGCCCCGGTCCGGGAGGATCCCACATGCCGCGGAGCGGCTGGGCCCGTGAGCCATGGCCGCTGACCCTACCCGTCCAGAGCTCTGCAACAGGAGAGGCCACAACAGTGAGAGGTCCGCGTACCACAAAAAAAAAAAAAAAAAAAGGAACTGTAGTCCTAAACATAAGACCTAAAAATATAAACTGTTTAAAAGAAAATAGGAGAAAATATTTGTGACCTTGAGCTAGCTAAAGATTGTTGGGCATGATATCAAAAGCATGATCTATAAAAGTAAAAAATTTAGTAAATTCGATTTCATTTAAATTAAAAAATTCTGTGCTTTAAACAACATTATTAAGAATATGAAAAGAAAAAAAAAGCCACAGACTTAGGGAAAATATTTGGAAATCATATATCTGATAAAAAAAACTTGTACTCAAAATACATAAACAATTCCTACAACTCTGTAATAAGAAGGTAAATATTCAAATTAAAAATTGGGCAAAGACATTTCTCCAAGATATACAATTTAAATAGTGGTACCTCTAAGTAAATGCATGAAAATATATTCAACACCTTAGTCAAAAAGGAAATGCAAATAAAAATCACAATGAGAGAACATTTTGCACCCGCTAGGATGGCTGTAAACAAAAAGACAGAAAATAATAATTGCTGGTGAAAATGTGGAGAAACTGTAACCCTCATACACTGTTGGAGGGATTGTAACTTGGTGCAGTCACTGTGGAAAATTTTTGGCAATTTCTTTAAAAGTTAGACACAAACTTACCATATGACTCAGCAATTCTACTCCTAGGAATCTAACCAAAAGAAATAAAAACATATGTTCACTCGAAGAATTATATGTGAGTGTTTATAGCAGCAATATTCACAATAGCCTCAAACTGGAAATAGCTCAATGTCCATCAACTGGTAAATGGATAAACAAAATGTGGTATTCCTAATAAAATGAGATACTATTTAGATACAAAAAGGAACAAAATATTTATACCTACTACCACAAGGATGAACCTTACCAACATTATGCTAAGCTAAAGAAACAATATAAGGGAAACCACATATTATGATTTCTTTTACATGAAATGTTCAGAATAGGCAAATCTATACAGATAGAAAGCTAATTAATGGTTGCCTGGGGCTAGGGCTGGGAATTGGGAGTAACTTGTATATAGACATGAGGGTGATGGCAGCACTGTAAAACTGAATTGTGATGACAGTTGCATAAACCTGTAAATTCACTGAAATTCATTGATTTTCATGCTTTGACCTGGTGAATTTTATGTAATATAAATTATACTTCAATAAATCTGTTAAAAAATTGTTCATTAGGTTTTTATAGATTCTTACCAACAATTACTTGATGAATTTGCTTTGGTGTCAAGATTAAGCTGCAATCATGTTTTTCATGGGGTGAGGATGGGTCTGATTTAAGTCCTTTGAGAACCTGTGAGAAATCACATTATTCCAAAATTAATTGTTCAATATTAGCAAAAGGTATTTTAAGAATTCTCATGGTATAATAAAATGTAAAATATTGCACATGCCTTTCTTCTCAAAGACTTTGTCTCCGTGGATGCTATATTTCTGGTACTTAGCAATTGGTTACACTTGATCCAATGCTGTGCTGAAGATAACTCTTCTATTTCCGCTTCTGAGAATGTGGGTGACTTTAGACCCGATGCTGGCTGTAATCCTATGTCTGTATCATTATATGAGTACATGTGTTTCCTAGTGAAATCATAATAATAATTAACTGAGGCTAGGTCTTTTAGAAAATACATCAGTAAATCCAAATATTCCCCATAGTACATGCTGTTACTGACCCACTCAGATCCACTGAAGCAGACGGAAGCACTAATCTGCATAAAATTGCCGTCTGTTAAGGGACCCCATTCTCAAACACCTCCTCAAGGTGTTTAATTTATGCTCATGGTATAATTTATGCTCAAAAGACCCTAGGTATCAGGCTGAGAGTAAACTTTATTTGAAACACATTATTTCTGAGTTCTCTCTTCTGCCCTCTCCTGCTTTCCTCATATTGTGCAGGTTTCTCCCAAAAGAACATTCTCCAAAAATCACATGTGCTGGAATTCCTGTCTCAGAATCTGCTTCTGGGGAAGCCCACCCAAGACATTCCCAAATCAGAAGTAAAAAAGGAAATAAATGCAGTTAAAGTAGTTCAATGTTTTGCTATTTTCATACATGAAAAGTCATTTAAATCACTAAAAAGAACCTAAAGAGTAAAGAAAAAAATTCTGGCTCTACAGGCACCATGCTCTGTTTCATACTGTTTGAGGAAGTGAACTTTACCTCTGTTCTTCTTTCAGCAGGCGCACATTTCTTAAATATTTAATGTATCCTGCATAATGCTTTTCATGTGCTTTCTTTTCTATTTTTTCAAATTTAGTATATGCAAAATCAGGATCCACATAGTTATATCTTGGAATCTTTGTGAAAATCGTCCTACAATATGAGCAACACATGTTAATATTTAGGTGTATATATATATGCATTTATTCAATCAGTATTTACTGAGTGCCTCCTATGCCAGGAGTTGGGCACAGAACGGTGAACAGGACAGATTCTAGTCCTTTTATATACCAAGACATTATTACATGTAGAAATAGAATGACATCTAATTTTCTTCTTAACCTAATCACAGGAAATCCCTAAGGTCACTGGGAAGAAGTAGGACCTACCCTAAACCCACTCTTGGAGTATTAGTCAAGTAGGCAATTTGGGCAGTTCTAGATTACAGATGGAACTAGATCTGAATCTGATTAGTGTTTCCTAATAGTTAATTACTTTTAGATCACTGTGATCAAAATCATAAAAGAATATATAGAATAATAAATCCTTTTGTTAAATCATGCTTTCTTAATATCTCAGAGCTTATGAAATAACCATCAGCAATAAATCTATACAGATAAAAAAAATCCAAAGAAGAACTGCAAACTACTCTACATCTCACATTCACTCAACTGGTGCATGCACTTCCTTTCACCTACCACATATTTTCCATAAAAACAAAAAGTACAATTATTCACATCTTTTGGCCTTAGGCTACCTCAGTCTTCAGCAAATTTTATTAATCATTGAGATTCTCACCCTTAATAATTAACTCCTAAGTATAAACCTAGTAGTCATATACAGTCAAATGAAATTTAATCTAATATCTAATATTTCTTCCTGTTTTTGATAATTCCTCAGTGGTAACAGTAATACAGCTTGAACTGAGTTAAAGACTTTAAGAGAGTGAGGCAATAAGAGAGAAACAAATGCTTTGTTACTCAGATAGTTGTTGATATATTTAAATCTCCCTTCAGGCTCTGGGATCCTTAACCACCTTTAGAACCTAGAAATAATTCCTATATCTGAAGTCCCTCTCTCTGTAACAAGGAGAAAAGGAGGGACTTAAAAAGAAGTAGTATAGGAGGTGCCTAAAGTGACACAGAGCTGCTTACTAACATATCTAAATGCTTATCAGCTCCTTAAAGAATAAACTTTAAGAAATACCTCTGCAACTTTGAGTAGGTGATTTTTTTTTAAATGTGCAAAGTACAGACAACAAAAATTACTATGTAAATAAAGCATTTTTCCTCACTTATTTATTAAAAAAATTTTTACTGAATGCCTAATATAACACACTATTCTGAACACAAGACATATACTGCATTAAATAAAACTAGACAAAGATTCTTACCTTATTTTCTTCTCAAAAATTGAAAAGGTAAAAAGCATTAAAAAATAAAACAGCAATTATAATTACAACAACTTAATACACTATAAAATTTCATTACTTAAATGTTCATTACTATTTGCTAGCCAGAAAATAACTGGACTAAATTTTGTATTTCTATTAGCATGGAAAAGAGTAAATTGAGGAAAATAATTATGGCCATGGGATGCTTACATTAGCCTTCTTCAAAAAAATCCTGGCATTTTGAGATCATCTGATTAATACTTAGACAGGAACAAAATGTTAATGTTAAATTAACACATTATATCTCTATATAGATATATTTGTATAAGCATAAGGAATAATTGAAAATGATACATTTAAAAATTATTTCCAGCAGCTACCTCTGCAGGGTAGGATGAGTTTTCTTTTTTATACTGTATAATTATTTAAAATGGAGTCTGCATAATTTTTATGCGTGTGTGTTTTATGGTACTTGTCAAGTAAAAAAAGAGAGATAAAGACTGCTGTGGATGGAATCTGTAAAATAAAATCATAAAATAGACTATATAAAAACCCAGAATTTTCCAATTGTGGATAATAAAACAATTATAGACTAAAAAATCAAATGGTATTTTAAGAAAATGACTATAAAAGTAAGTGAACTTGAAGACTCACCAAAGGTAAAGAGACAAGTAGAGAAAGCCCAGGGACATGGTCAAGTTTAGACAGTTAAACAAGCAGGCAGAAAAGAAACCCAGTTCATCCTCAAATGTATAAAAACCATTCCTGAGCTAATGGCCCAAATAAAGATGTCAGGTTGACTGGGTTTATTCTCACTAAGCATTGACATGGTAGTAATTTCTTTGAAAATGGGGTAATTTTTAAATTGAGGCTTACTATCACTCATAGTCCTTATAATTGGGGAGGTTTTAGTTCACTTTGGTAAAGGTTATTGAAAATGTGACTTTGAGGGGACTGAACAAAGATGATAGCACAGGGATGAAGATAATGACAATGAAGACGAGAACAACTTGTTTATCACAGTTTAAAATTTTTAATCTTAGATAAATTCAGGCTCTCAGCCATAATTAATGAACATGACTACTCTGAGGACTGTATACATTTCCAAAAGTGATTATTTCTATTCTTCTTCTCTACTTGTTAACAGCATATTTTAAGAATCATCTGGTAAACCATTCACAAGTCCTGGCAAGTACGCAATAGAGATGAGAGGTTAGATGACAGCATTCAGCAACCACTCCTCTGATGTAAAAGAAAAAAAAAAAAGAGAGAGAAAATTAAATTTTGCTATTATTATTATTACGATCACTAATTTGTTACAGCAGGATCTGATAAGATCTCTGCATGTCATGCTGGTTATTGTATCTTACAAAATTTCAGGTATTTAATATAGCACATTACCTGAAATGTTTATGCTCTTCTCCAGACCGGATACTTGCAGCTCGGTCATTGGGAAAGGCTATCAGAGCATCCTTTATTAACTCCTTACTTGTGTTATGATTGTGAATGTGTGTCGTGGTTGATTGAAGCATTGCAACAAGTGCATGGTCCTTGTATTTTGCCAAGTCTTTCACCCCAAACTGTCCCACAGGATTACTGATCAAAGGGGATATACCTTTTAGAGAATTGAATATTAAGTGTAAATATGTTTTTTTTTAATTTCCATGAATTAATTACTACACTAGACCACTGGTTCCAACTTAAAGCTAAATCCCTAAGCAAATTCAGAAAATATGAATAATTCATTTAATAAATGGATCTACATAAAACAATTTAGCAAAATAATGCATGCATAAGTAATAAAAATGCATGCAAAAAAACTAAAACATGGTAACTTGAAGGACTGGGTTGGCACACATGAAACTGAAATTTTTATACGTTAAAGAGAGTTGAATATCAGCAATTTCATATGGGTCAATGTATAAGAGATAACTGAGAATTAGTTGAAACAGCAGCAACCAGAAAATCCACGGAATGGTCAAAACCAGTTTACAATACAGACTCAAACAAAGAAGTAAAAGAATAAAATATAAAAACCATTAAAATATTTAATAAATTTTATAGATCACTAAACCAGTGCTAGTCAAAGTTAGATCCTCAAAATGGCAGCATCAGCATCTACTGGAAACATGTTAGAAATACAAATCTTTGGGCTCCAACAAAGACCTACTTAATAATCAACGCTGGGACATAGGACAGTGATATGTTTTAACAGGCCTAGATGCACGTAGAAGTTGAGAACCATTAGATTAGACCACATTTGATATATACAGCTAAGCATTAGTATGTTAAGATAATCCTGTATTAACCAAAAATAGATAAATAAATGGTAAGCACCCCCAATAGCATACCAGGATTAATTTTCATCACAACTTTCTTGGTGGAAGGTTTGCAGACACTACTGAAATATAAATGTATCTGATGGAAAGGCTTCAGGGACAAAGACTGCAAATTTTCATCTGTCACTGAGCCAATAATCTCTATAAATTGCTTCACTTTAAAGACTCCAACTTGATGTGGAATGAATAAACATGCCACATTCTGAAAAAAGGAGTAAAGTGACCAATTGCTATAGGCTGAATGTTTGTGAACACCTAAAACTCATATTTTGTTTTTTGCCTTTTTTTTTGCCACACCGCACGGCACACGGGATCTTAGCTCCTCAACAAGGGATTGAACCCGCCCCCCCTGAAGTGGAACTGTGGAGTCTCAACCACTGGACTGCCAGGGAAGTCCCTGAAACTCATGTTAAAAACTCATATGTTAATGCCCTATGGCAGGGGTCCCCAACCCCTGGGCCACAGACCAGTACCAGTCCCAGTCCGGTCCATAGCCTGTTAGGAACCGGGCCGCACAGCAGGAAGTGAGCGGCGGGCAAGCAAGCGAAGCTTCATCTGTATTTACAGCTGTTCCTCATCACTCGCATTACCGCCTGAACTCCACCTCCTGTCAGATCAGCAGCGGCATTAGATTCTCATAGGAGCCCGAATTCTACAGTAAACTGCACATGCGAAGGATCTAAGTTGCAGGCTTCTTATGAGAATCTAATGCCTGATGATCTGAGGTGGAGCTGAGGCAGTGATGCTAGCACTGGGGAGCGGCTGCAGATACAGATTATCATTAGCAGAGAGGTTTCACTGCACAGAGACCATAATAAATTAATTGCTTGCAGACTCATATCAAAACCCTATCAGTGAGTGGCAAGTAAAAACAAGCTCAGGGCTCCCACTGATTCTGCATTATGATGAGTTGTATAATTATTTCATTATATATTACAACATAATAATAATAGAAATAAAGTGCACAATGAGTGTAATGCACTTGAATCATCCCGAAACCATCCTCCCCACCCTGATCCGTGGAAAAATTATCTTCCACGAAACCGGTCCCTGGTGCCAAAAAGGTTGGGGACCGTTGCCCTATGGGATAGAATTAGGAGATCCGAGCCCTTGTTAAAGAGGGTCCACAGATCTCCCTAGCCCCTTCCACCATGGGAGGATACCACAAGAAGTCTGTGACCAGGAAGAGGGCCCACACCTGACCATGCTGGCACCCCAATCTGGGACGTCCAGCCTCCAGAACTGTTAGAAATAAATTTCTGTTGTTTATAAATTGTGCAGTCTATGGTATTTTCTTACAGCAGCCCAAATGGATTAAGAAAAACTATTGTACTGTTAGGACAAAATAAAAAGCAAATCAAAAAATATTGCTTATAAAACTTTAAGGAAAGCTAATTTATCATGGTGATATGAAAGTCTTTAGAAATATCATATACAGAATTGACAAACCTTCAAGATACACATTACTGGAAAATTATCTAAGAAAAAATTAAGATTAATGGTACTGAAGCACTTCCAGAACGGCAGATTAAAGACCTCCAAATAGTTACTCATCCACAAACAGAAAGAGAACACTAGGAAAATTGTCAAAATCAACTTCTCGGATATTTGAAAATTACCTAAAATACTGCAAAAGTCCAAAGAGTATTTATTTTTTTTAAATGGCTGAATTCTAAACAAAGAACAGGCTTTGTGGCATTTTTACCTACTGTAATCACATCCTCTTATTCCAAATTCGTGCTCTCCTTGAAAAACAACAGCCTTGCAACTATGGTAACTGTGAAAATGATTAGCCTAGCAGCCATCGAGGGAGAATGGGTTTAAAACTCTCCGAAAACCCCATCCCCAGAGAAGTGCTCATATGTGTTCTGTCTGAAAGCTAGCTGAAAAGCCTAGTTTGAGAGCATGGCTTTAACTGACCTGATTCAGAGCTCACTCTGTGTGAACAACTCTCTCCCTAGGGTTTTGCCACCCTCCCCTTGAAAAAGAATCAGCTGCAACTGTTGAACATCACAGCAACCTGAGATAGCATTAGCATTTAAGGCTAATAAGAAATAAGAGAATAAAAAAACAAAGCCAAAAATGTTCAGAGGGTATTAGAAAAGCTCTGACATATTCCTGGCAATCTAGATTGCCACACACACGTGCAAGAGAGTGTATATCCCCAGGAAAGATTTGAGAAAGATCTAATCTGTCACCTCTGGCTGACTTTGGGACTCGGTACAAGGAGGACCTGAAGCCAGAAAGAGTTGTAAACTACCTGGTAGAACACTGAAGTCATGGCCCACTCAACACATTTATACAGAGGTACTCAGCAAAGGCTGTGAGACATATGGAATCAAGGAATTTAAGGGAGTCTCTGCCCAATCAATAGCTGACCACTAAATTAATTGAGCAACACTTGATAGTCTGCACACAGCAAAGAAAACAACCTTTTCAGAATTAGTCTAGAAAGTCACTAAACAAATAAAACAACAACAACAAAGAGCAAAAATCCTATGGGAGATCTGATTTCCAGAGCTCTCAAATTATATTATTTAAAATATCCAGTTTTCAACAAAAACTTACTGGACACTCAAAGAACTAGGAAGTTACGGCCAACACACAAGAGAGAGGCAATAAACAGAAACTGTCCCTGAGGAAAAACAACTGTTGGACCTATTAAACAAAGACAGTAAGTACAGTACTATAAATATGTTCAAAGGACTGAAGAAAAACATGTCTAAAGACTTAAAGGAAACATGAGAACAACATCTCACAAAATGGAGCATATCAATAAAGTACAGAAATTGTTAAAAAGAACAAATAAAGACAAGGGAATGTAGGAAACTCACAAGTATGTGGAAATTAAACAATACACTCCTAAGCAACTAATGGGTCAAAGAAGAAGTCTCAAAGGAAATTAGAAAATACTTTGAGATGAAGAAAAACTAAAACTCAACATACCAAAACTTATGGAATGCAGCAAAAGCACTGATTAGAGGTACATTTATAGCAGTAAGCACCTATATTAAAAAAGACAAAGGCCTTTGTCATGTAATACATGAAATAGAGAATAGAAAACAACAGAGAAAATCAACAAACCTGAAAGTATGTCTTTGAAATCATTAATGATATTGAAAAAAAACTTGAGCTAGACAAACCAAGCCAACAACAACAACAACAAAAACTCAATTTCTTAAAATCAGGAATAAAAGAGAGGACATCTTTACCAACTCTACATCAATAAAAAGGAGTATGAAGGAATACAATGAACAATCATATGCCAACCAATTAGATAACCTATATGACATGGACAAATCCTCAGAAAGACACAAACTTCTGAAAATGGTTCTAGAAGAAACAGAAAATCTGAATAGCCTAGGATAACAAGAGATTAAAGTAGGAATTTTTAAACTTCTGACAAAGAGAAGTCCAGAACCAGATGGCTTTGATGAATTTTACTGAACATTTAAAGAATTAGCACCAATTCTACAAAAACTACTCCAAAAATTAAAGGGAACACTTTCCAAATCCTTCCATACCAGTTTTAGGCTAATGTAAAAAGTAAAGACATTCAAGAAAATAAAACTACAGACTAATGTCCTTTATGAATATATATGCAAAACTCTACCAAACATTATCAAATTGAATTCAGCAACACATACAAAGGATTATCCACACTATGTACAACTATGTAAAACTCCTTTGCCATGTAACATCACATATTTGGTCTTGGGAAGAATTTTTTGGATTAGACTTCAAAAGCACATACAACAAAAGTAAAAAATAGACAAGACTGCATCAAACTAAAAACCTTCTGTTGAGCAAAAGAAACAGTCAACATAGTGAAGAGACAGCCTACAGAATGGGAAAAATACTTGTGAACCATCTAACTGATATAGGGTTAATATGCAAAATATATAAGGAACTCATACAAATCAAAAGTAAACTAATAACCTGGTTAAAAAAATGGGCAGGTGCAGCAGAAACTAGGTGGCGGGTAGGGAGTGAGCAGCTCCGCGTCGCCACTGCACCTACAGTGTGCCTCGGTAGTGGTGAGTCCTGGTACAAGACCACAGTTTGATAAGCCGTCTCCTACTGCATTAAGGATGGCCAACCTCAGCATGAGATAGGCCTCTGGACATTGATGGCTTAAAGTCTTTCTATAAAAATCTACTACTGGACAGATCTTCAAGATGGCGGAAGAGTAAGAGGTGGAGATCACCCTCTGCCCCACAAATACATCAGAAATACATCTACATGTGGAACAGCTCCTACAGAACACCTACTGAATGCTGGCAGAAGACCTCAGACCTCCCAAAAGGCAAGAAACTCCCCACGTACCTGGGTAGGGCAAAAGAAAAAAGCAATAAACAGAGACAAAAGAATAGGGACAGGACCTGCACCAGTGGGAGGGAGCTGTGAAGGAGGAAAGGATTCCACACACTAGGAAGCCCCTTCGTGAGCGGAGACTGCGGGGAGCGGAGGGGGAAGCTTCGGAGCCGCGGAGGAGAGCACAGCAAGAGCGGTGCGGAGGGCAAAGCGGAGAGATTCCCACACAGAGGATCGGTACCGACCACTCACCAGGCCGAGAGCCTTACGCACCGGGGTGGGCAGGGGCTGGGAGCTGAGGCTCGGGCTTCGGAGGTCGGATCCCTGGGACAGGACTGGGGTTGGCTGCGTGAACACAGCCTGAAGGGGGCTAGTGCACCACGGCTAGCCCGGAGGGAGTACGGGAAAAAGTCTGGAGCTGCTGAAGAGGCAAGAGACTTTTTCTCGCCTCTTTGTTTCCTGGTGCGCGAGGAGAGGGGATTAAGAGCACTGCTTAAAGGAGCTCCAGAGACAGGCTAACAGCGCGGACCCCAGAGATGGGCATGAGACGCTAAGGCCGCTGCTGCTGCCACCAAGAAGCCTGTCTGCAAGCACAGCTCACTCTCCACACCTCCCCTCCCGGGAGCCTGTGCAGCCCACCACTGCCAGGGTCCCATAATCCAGGGACAACTTCCCCGGGAGAACGCACGGCGCGCCTTAGGCTGGTGCAATGTCATGCCGGCCTCTGCCACCACAGGCTCGCCCAGCACTCCGTACCACTCCCTCCCCCCGGCCTGAGTGAGCCAGAGCCCCCTAAGCAGCTGCTCCTTAAACCCCATCCTGTCTGAGGGAAGAACAGATGCCCTCCGGCGACCTAAACACAGAGGCGGGGCCAAATCCAAAGCTGAGCACCTGGGAGCTGTGAGAACAAAGAAGAGAAAGGGAAATCTCTCCCAGCACCC